GTTCACAATGACTGCTCATCGATTCACCACCAGTTCCTATCGAACGTTTACATAATGCAGTGCGATAAAGTCCATAGAAAATGTTTTTTTCACGTTTGTCTCTGCCAGCTGGAGGAAGAGTGGTTGTTACACGCCATCTATTCATATTCCCTTCCTAATTTGGAATTATTCTCCCCAACAAAATTCTAGATGTGGTCTAGATCGTATTGCAGAAATACCGCATCTTTTTATGAAAGAACAGTTCATAACAAAAGTGGTGTCAAAGTTCCTTCCTTTTCCCTCCAGTAACTGAAGAACGTTACTGAAACAAAAGTGAACAAAACGTGCGACTCCAAAAGGATACACTGAACAATTTTGAAAAATTGAAGAATTCGTAAGTGAGGAAGGTAAAACTTGGCTTGAAATGGCTTGGGCTCTAAAAATGAGTGTCAGTTACCAGAACTATCAGACTTTTTTACTGAGATTTTGTCTTCAGTGGTTTTTGATTAATTTTGGATACTCTTTACTGAGTTTGTGCGGCGACTTTGCTAATCGAGAGAAGGGCACCCAGTGAACCACCTCTACTTGTCTGGGTGGGAGAGGAATGAGCTGTGAAATCAAGTCGTAAATGATCAGTGCTCAGCGTTTCATGCTTATGCATACACAATGATTCCATCTTTCTGCCTTTAGCTTGATGTTATTTGGATTATGTCACTCGACATATTCAGATAGCTCGTCCTCATCCTCATCTTCATCGTCTTCATCTTCTGATGATAAACAGAAAAAGAAGAAAAAGAAAAAGGCCAAAGGAAAGTCGAGTAAAGAGTACGTTTCATCTGTTAGAAACAGCTGGCAAGTTCTAGTTGAATCTCTATAAATTTATTTCAGTGAAAAGGAGAAGAAGAAAATGAAGGACAAACCATCGTCGAGTAAAAAACAGGATAAACATAAGAAGGATAAGGACAAATATGCCTTGAAAGTTCGAAACAAGGAATTAGCACGTAGAAGGCAGGAGAGTAGCAGCAGTGAGGATGAAGATGAAGACAGACAAAAGCAGGTCAGCCACCCATNTACCACGCAGTGTTCTTGAAGCCTACACGAACGTAGGCGATCAAGAAATTCGTTGGTGTTTGGTAGATGTGAGGGCACGTATCGGAGTAGTTGACCAACAATTTTATTGAGGAACCAGGAGATACGGTCCGTTGGTCCTCCTACACAGCTGATGATGGGTCTTATTTTATAGTCGCTAGCATTAGCTGAGTTCTCGCCTCCGTTGGACAACTTATGAGTCTTGATCAGGCTATAGAAAACCGGGCACGAGGGTGTATCCAACTTCAATCTTTTGATCAACCTCCTATCCAATTTTGCTATCGTTCCGATTGATACCCACAAAGCGTTCAGCTTGTGACATTGGGTGAGGAACGTCTTTTCCGTGGAGTGACTATACACGGAAGTATCACTTAGGTGAAGTTTTGTGATTTCCCGATCTAGTGAGCGGGGTAAAACCACAAATTCTCCTCCCTTGTCACTTACGGAAAGACGGATTTCACCATCTGCTACGCGTTTCCGTATCTCTCGCAACCCTTCCCATTGTGCGTTCGTCATGTTCGAGAACCTTTCGCGCCCATGTCTTCTGAAAATTTCGAGTATTCCTGACGAAAGTACTCGAAATTTCGTGTCTTGTATGGGAGAAGGTTCTGGTTCTCTATAGTACGAACACGGGAATGGGATAGGCGATAGCATAGATTCTGTGCTAGCGCGCTGGTGCTCTTGGCGCATTGCACTCGTTCTAAGCTGATCTCTCAATCGATGAAGCCCTGTTACCGCTTGGCGATATATGGAAGGTCCAATCCCTTGGGCAATTGAGAATGATGGCCCAAGGCTGAGGAAATCCACAGCTTTCTCTGATATCGATGCATTGCCAATAACAGTAACTCTTGCCTGATTTTGCGACTTGTTCACTCCTTGAGTGGTCTTTGCTCCGAGCTGGTGATTCGTAGAAGAGTTGGTCCCACTACTGGAACCATTTCTGTGTTGCTCGCTCCTTAGGGTGTCGTACTTCGCACATAGCGTCGTTTTTGCCCTAGATCGACATTTTTTTGCACATTGTTCACGGCATCGAGTGGGACGGCGACGCTGGTGAAACCGCAGAAGGTTGGTTTCTTCGCTGGAATATTTTGGTGTTCAAGTTTCTGGGAGTTGTTGCAACTGGCCTAGCGTGTTTGGGCGCTTGGTCGGGTAAGTCACAGGTCAGGAGCTCCGAATTACTTTCAGGTCCTTGAAGACGACGAGTTGTTCGAAACGTCGACCTAATAAAGCGGTTTCATCATAACAAACCTGTACGGCAAAATAGTGTATAATCAGCGTAGTGAAAGATGGGTTCGGTAGCATCAGCAGGGATTTCTTTTCGAGGAACCCTCTCATTTCTCTCATTCATCGATATCGCCATTTCTTGCCGATTGACAAACTTTGCAGAGCGGAATTTCAGGCAAAAGCTGGAACGATTTTTATAATTCTGCGCTTATACTAACATGGGCAATAAGTAAGGATAGCAGAAAAGCTTCTCTTGTCAGAGCCCTAATCTTGGCAGATTTCAGAGCAATTGTGATTTCCTACGGGTCGTTTCGTTGGCAACTATCAGCTTTATGTAAGTTCTTCAGTGTTCATACACGCCCCGTAGCATCGTAACTCGTCCGTTTATGGATACTGTAGCTGAAATGGTCATCCACAAAATTGAGAGCAACAAATGACAGCATTAATTCCCTATATCATCAACAATTTAAACGTTTTGCCAAAATATATCATGCATAGAATCACAAACAACCTTTAGTAATCGCGCTTAATGCATGGCCGTAATGGAAGAGCCATATCGAGACCCTATATAATGCCCCACTACATAAGGGAACTGCAGCTGTCATATATTCAGATTTCTCTTAGCGATTTCTTTCTGCAACCTTTATTTAGTGTTTGCTTTCAGGTAGCAAATGACTGCTCTCTCTTCTTCGGTCCGATGCCTCCTTATGCTTGTATGTTCTTTTTTGATATTTCTTAATAATTCCAATTGGTATCTAAACCGTTTGTTTATCCCGAATTCCAGCGCACAAAATTTCAAAAACATCCCCTTCAACTCGATCCAAGACCCATTTATGTGTGGGAAACACAGAAGTGGCAGAGCTAAAGGATAACGTGGATCGCTAGACTTGCCCTGTATCTATTATCCTAATCACTGATGGGACATTGATGGGGTCACCCGTTACTTCTTCTACGAATGGCTAGCACTGCCTGGAAGAACTTTCTGATGTCTTATGTCGCCACCTTGAACCTAATGTGGTGAGCTCACTCAAGGAAGCTAGGCTTACCTGCACAAAGATATCCAGGGTGAATACAGCTGAAGACCGTGCGGAGGCATGTGACCACCGACGAAGAATATCCCGAAAAGATGGCTGCTACGTTTCAAATTCAACAAACAGCTCTAAAATTTTACATTTGACGTAGCCTACAAGTAGTTGCTCGTACAACTCTTCATTTCAGGCGTGCATTTTGCTTACAATCGAATCGGCGATGGGTTGCATAAAGTACAGGAGCGTTAAAAAATGATACAATTTATGCGAATGAATTCAACAAGCTTTCGTGTGTTGTTCAACAGAAGTAATGGATTATCTCCCTAGAGGCTTCGAATTGGATTTTAGTCGGCCTTCCAAAATGGAACGTAAATCAACCTGAACAAACTAAGTTTCCAATGTATATCCGTCCCTAGCCTACTTATTGTTAGAAGCTGAGCAAACTGAATCAACAAAACCTCACGAACTTGAACAGCACTGTAGTAAAAAGTATACAAAACTTTCGTAGAGGATAAAGACGTTGATATGATTATCGACCGGAATTCGCAATACATTGCATATGATCAGGCGCTACCGATTCCCTCCCCTTCTAGCCGTTCGATGTTCCACTACATGCTTAAAGCAAGGACTAAGAAGCTCCGCCATTGGGCCACAGAAGCTCTAGAGATTTTAAGCTGAGCGAAAACTGAGTGTGAACCAAAAAAAACTTACAGGGTATTTGAGATCCCTACAAAAATGTAACCCTCCTACCAAAGAACTCCGATAGCAAGCGTGCACGAACACATTCAATAAACACATCGAAAGAATAAGGATAGCACAAACATTTTCTGATAAGAAATCAACCTTACCGACAGCTACTCAAAGGCATTCCAGGAAATAGAGACTTACTGCAATTTTTTTTGACTCAACGCTGCAAAGGAATCTCAATGTTTACAGCGATTTCTAAATTCTTCCCTGCCTTGGAACACCCATTAGCGCATCTTCCAGGGCTCAATGATTTTGGATAAATTGATGGGGATGTTCCCTGTCCTGGAACACCTACAGAGCGAATCTTTCTAGAGTTCAATGGCTCTAGGAAAACCTGATGAAGAAAATGTATATGACAACGTGCTACACCAACCACCGATCATCACCGCGAAGTGAGAGGTCTTACACTTCACACGTGTATTCATTGAGCGCTAGAAAGTGAGCAATGGGTAAAACCGGCAACTGACGAACATAACAACCACTGAGCTCGAAAAACAACTGTCTTCGCCTGAACCATTACCAGAGTGGTGTTGACCCAGTTGGCTCCCTAAATCTCCTTTACTCCTTTGTTTCACTTGAAATTTCCGTGCACTTTAGTTTTGTACTATTGACCCATGACTTTTTCTCACTAATCTCAAATCGCTGTCGAGCATGGGGAGGTTGGTCGAGGTGTGGAACATCCCATATTTTACAGAAACCATTACTTTTCTTCTTTCTGCCCAATCCATTGTAATGTGTTTTTATTCCTTCTTACTAGGGATTCCTTGGGAACAACGGTCCGAATTGATAGTTGTCTATAATCCTATCAAAAAAAAGGACTAATAGCCAATAGTAGAGAAAAGCAGTGGCTTAGAAAATTAGGCAGAAGGGAAGTGTAGAAGGAATGACTTACAGATTGCGGTGTAAAAAGGTAATTGATACTGATCTTTCAGACTTGTCGACGTTCCACTTCCCACTGCCCCAACCACACTGACGGCGATGTTCTAGGGCATCTTCTCTCTATAAAACAGAGCACACTGTTTTAGTTCAGCTGTAAATCCCACAATTTATCAAGCACATCGTATAATGCATTGACATTTATCTGATCTAGGAGATTAATGTTTGAGTTTAATATTTTATTGAGATTTAAGGTTCCCATCCTTGTTTCGCTGATCTGCGCTTTGAGCGAGTCCGTTACCCCGGCGGAAGCGAAAAGCCTCGCATTTGCATTAGGAGCCCTTCTACTCTCAGAGGTGATGTTATGAGCCTATGGTTCACAATATTTCGGCCCTGCTGTCCGAAAGTATAACCCCACCACGGTTTGGCTTGATTACTGATATGATAATTGTTACGTTGTTATTGACGCCACTGACTTTTCTTTAAAACCTGTATTTTTTAGAACCTATTCACCGTCCATAAGCAGCAGTAATGGGCAAAAAGAAAAAGAAGCATCACTCTTCATCTGACGAAGACGAGGAGGAGGATGAGGAGCAGAAGAAGGATGACAAGGACAAGGAAGCTGGAAGCGATGCCGCTGCTGATAAGGACGAAGAGGAGGATTCAGGTAACGCCATCATTTTCAACAAGATTGCTATTGCTCATGCAAACTTAACAACTCTTCTTTTCCCTCCGAACTTCGAGTCAACCGCTTGCCATGGTCTATAGAGGCTATGGGCATTTCAACTAATACCTAGCTCCCTTACCCAGTACTTTCATGGCATTCGGCCATGCCACTTGTTAATGATGATCACTCGTGATAGCCACTGGTTAATAGCCGATTTACTAGCAGCTACAATTGAATCCTAACCTTCCTTTCGATTGTAATGTCGCAACGAGAGTGTAAGTTTCATGAGGAATAATTTTACTCATGTTTCTCACATGTATTTGGAAATATATATTCGATATGCTTGATTTTTCACTTATCATATCGAATATAGCGTAAGAAAATGTGGTCCAAATCGTGTGATGAATGGTATCAGGTCGCATTCGCTTGAGCTTCGGAAGAAAGATCTCAAAAATGTGAGGAGAACGTGTGGGGCATATCAAGAAACGTCAAACAATACATCTCCCGCTATTTGACAAAACTGCTCCGAAACTGCTTGACATTGGACAAACTGCTGACCTTACAGTATCCTGACCAAAGGAGTCCAGAGGAGATTTCAAGTAAATTTTCTGAAGAGACTCATAAAATTTGCAGCTGTTTGGGGGTATAGTGAATAATGGATGACGGAACGATACAAAGAAGACCCGTTCAAATATCACGGAAAAATGTTTTAAGTTTTCGGAAATGTTTACGCCTATACTTTGGAAAATTAAGAATTTTGAGGTGAGTATCCTTGGGGTGTAGCGACCTCTTCAGCCGTTTTTTGATTCAGTTAATGTTCAACGGCTACATGGCATAGTCGAGGAATTGCACAGAAAATCTGCAAGAAAATCTTTTTTGCTTCTTGATCTTTCTTTGTGAATATTACGTCAATTTATAGTATAAACCAACCATGTTTATGGAAAGGCTCACATTAAAGAATAATCACTATCAGCCGGCTTGTTGAGAAGGACAACCAGATAGTTTAATATCCCCACATGATCAATGGGTCTTGGACAAAATTCACCAGACCAACTAAAACATGCAAGGGTTGAGTAAAGTGAAATAAAATAGTTATAATACAAAGAGGTAAAAAATGGCTACAATTTTCGCCCTACGTTGAATTACAGATGATGACCCCAATTACAGTTGACGATGCAGCATTTCGCGGTTTGTGTCAAAAACGGTTTTTCACAGGACCGTCACTACCCAACCCTTGCATGTCGAGCTCAGAGAACAAATGCTCCCCATGATCCATCTCTGTCAGCTGACGTACTGACCGAAACCAGTTTTCTCGCATGGGAGCAAAACGTTGACTTCTGTCTCATCGGCTAACCCCAACCCATCATGTACACCGAAAATATGTATTAGGTTGAGTCATAAGTCTTCGGGCAAAGTGATAGTGATGACTTCTAGAGATCATAACTCGGGAAAGAGGAGACGAAAATGGACGCGCGAGGCATAGCTAGATAGAGTATAAAAAGCTTCTTCAAATACGTATTAACGAATACACCTGACCGTTTTCTGCGCTTGAGCGTGAGGAGAAAAAGTGCCATGTCGGCGCGGCAGTCCATGTCATACTGCTTCAAAGCATTAATCATCCATCGACCGAGCTTTCGCACCGAGCCGATTGGCTTCAATCCAGGGATAACTGTAGACTGAATCCTCAAGGGTGACTGCCAGTTCACGAGTAGTTTTATACGTATCGCCTTCCACCTGGCTCCGTAGCACCTCCAAATCCAACTCCATTGAGCGTCCCGGACAGTCTTCATTTCGATGGAATAGTCGCCGAACGTCAACTTCGCGTGCCACTTGTAAAATGTGCATCTAGCAGGAGCAACCTTTTTGTAAACTTCCTTAAAACGTCTATCGATCTCCGCNGGTTCTTGGCCAGATAAAAAAAGAAATAGGATGGTGTTGCGGAGGTGGAGTTGCGACGGTTTAAAATCATGGGGCATGGTTGCTGGAAAAGAAACACTTAGGTGTGTATGTTAGTATGTATTTGGAAGAGCTTTTCATACTCTATCTAACGAAGTTACGATTGCTCATTTTCGCCACCTCTTTCCCGAGTTATGATCACTAGAAATCATCACTATCACTTTGTTCGAGGACTTATGACACAACCTAATACAAAATTCATCCCAATGTCATATAAAATATAAACCAGATTCACGTACTAAGCTGTACTCTTCGCCCACGCAACCGACTCGATTCAGAGTCGTAATGGCATATCGAATGCTTATGATCCTATACAATGACGTGCGGGGGGCAGCAAGTCATTGCCAGTACCGTCAGTCAAAGCTGATCAATATCCGCCTAGAACAACCAAGCCTTCCATCCCTTCGGGTTGGCTTCCGACCTGAAGGGATGGAAGGCTTGGTTGTGTTCTAGGCGAATATTGATCCGGGATTCGAATTTGTGAGCATGTGTCTGTGAAGTGCACCACTTGCCACTACACCACCTCCGTCCTAACTATAACATTAACATTAAAAACGTGGGACTCTAACCCAGCCCCAAAGGGCGCTAGGTGCTTGTAAAGAGAGTCATATCCGCATCCAGGACACACGCCTCACTCATGGATTCTTGATTGGTTTCATTGGCTTTATACGGTGACAATGCCCACTGACAATAAAACAGTAGTTTAGTGGACACATAGTAAGTCACAACTATTCTGGGTAAAAAGCTTATGCAGGGCAGATTCCAAGAAATAGTTGATCAAGGTCAAGCGCTTGATGCTCCAACCCATAGGTGATGCTAGCAGTAATCTTGCCCCTTCCCTGCCTCGATAATTTACTGAATATTGTGCTTCTGTATTCCTGACTACTGTACTATATTCAGGAGGGTCCTCGTCCTCGTCATCGTCATCCTCATCATCTTCATCGTCGAGCGATAAAAAGAAAAAGAAGAAAAAGAAAAAAGACAAAGAGGAGAGAAAGAGGAAAAAGAAAGAGTACGTTTTAGTTGTTCAGGACAGACTAAATCTAGTTGAACCTCTAGCCATTTCAGTGAAAAGAAGAAGAAAAAGGACGAGAAAGAAAAGAAGAAGGACAAGAAGAAGAATAAACCATCAGATGAGGAAGAAGACAAGGGCAAGGAGGATAAAAACGATGAAAATAAAGACAAAGACGATAAAGATGAGGAAAAGAAAGACAAGGACGGTGAGGATGAGGACAAGAAAGAGAAGGACGACAAGGACGAGGATAAGAAAGATAGTGAGGATGAGGATAAGGGCAAGGATAAAAAGGATAAGGACAAGGAAGATGAAGACACGGATGAGAAAGACAAGGAAAATAAAGACAAGGAGGATAAGGACAAGGAAGAAAAAGACAAGGATGATGAGGATAAGTAAGTTATAAGGTACCGAAATGTGGAATAAACAAGCAAATGCATCATTTCAGGCCGAAGGAAGTTGACGTGTAGCAGCACTTCGGATTAGGATAGGCAAAAGAAGATCTGGCCTCCAGCGCAACCATTCAATGTTCCTGAGGACAAAACGATAAAGAAAGCTCTACAATTTCATGTGCATCGTAAATAATAGTACTGGTTTTGAGAGTTTTTTACTATGAATTCTTAACAGTTGCTCTTAAATAGCTCTCCATTGTGTGCTACGCTTGAAGATTCTTCAAGATCTACGAAGATTATCGCTTCTGACATTCCTATAATAAATTTCGTTAGAAGAAATATTATTTGGACTACTGTAGACAGAAGGAATTAACTACGTCCCCGTGTGGGCTCGTGAAGCTATTCCCGACAATTCACCGCGAGTAAGGAAACTTGAAAGGGGAATAAACATAGAAGCATACTGTATCTATTGAGCTACATTGGCATAACATGAGCTTATCTAGGGAAAGGGAAACAAGAGCAGTCCTTTCAGAGCTTTTCTAGGTGCACCCACTTCTGCAATTTTAAGCTTAAAAAGCCTCCTACAGACGTGGATTCAAGCGAGCTACTTATCTTTTCTTCTCTCGGCATATCGACAACTTATCTGGAGGGTTAATTAACACACGGGATGGATCTCGAATCTTCTGCATCTTCTGGATGCCAACATGTACCCTCTGAGTGGAAAGAAAAAGGAAAAAGAAAAAAAGGTTTCTTTCTTTCAGTAGCAAAGAATAAGCGGAGTGAGAGGTGAATCAAGCGGGATCACTTATCAGCAAAACCAGTTGATTAACAAGCGAGTTAATTGAAATAAATGACCCTAATCTGCTTCGCTTAAAGGCACGAATCACGATAAAAAAGGTTACTGAGTTCTTCCTTCATGAATACTCAGCGATCCCCATGGTTGGTAGGAGGGACCTTTTCATTCCCCCAGTCTCGACGTCCAGGGCATAGTGCAAGCCCTGTTGTTGCCGTGATTGGCTTTCCCCCCCTCGATCGATGTCACGT